GGAAGTTACTGTAACCATTTTAATCCATAGATAATACGTTTGATTAGTCGACCTTCAAGTGTTGATTCCAAATTAAAATACGTAGAAATACTTAAAACAATAATTTAAAAAATCAGATTTCTTCATTTTCTTCCTCTTTGCCGCTTGCATTATGCGGAAGAGTCCTCGTAGTTCCTTCATCCTTGGTTTGAATATTTTCTCCCAGCCTACTCGAACATGAACACAAACATATGAGTATGAACCTATCTTGCCAGGTGGGTAATGTCTTATCTTCTATAAATACTTTTTTTTAATCAAGCTATTATGACCAAACCATCGCAGTTAACGTTCCAAACTTGTTATTTATTGTAGGGATTATATTCTTGTTCCAAATCCAATCGCTCTCTAAGCGTTCCCGGTCACTCCAACGCTGCGTGACATTCGACTAGCTTGCATGTCGATCACCACATCAAGATTATCCTATCACGTTTAACTCAGTTCAAATTATTGAATCTTCACCGGTGAGATGGCTAAACGTTATTTTATAGTAAAAATTTCAAACGTTACTCGCCTGCACCTCGAAACTGCTTCTTTATACTCCTTTTTAAGAAACATTATTATCCATGCGTAAAGTTCTGCATTTCAATAGTACTCTCTACGTAGCTAACATAACGAGTATATTTCTATTCACTTTAGGCGATACAATTGGTCTTATCACAAAACAGTGTGGTACACAGATCCAACAAAACTATGCTATATGTTCAATGACTAGTTAAAAATCCTTGAGATATGATAAGATGTAAACTATATAGATTAAAAAATATTTTAGATAAGCCGATCTTAAGCTCGGACCAACACACAACTATAATCAAACTAAAGGATTAATCTAGGAAGGATTTCTGACGTAAATTCATCCGCATTAGCAAATTTCGCGTTCTTAGAATTTAAATTAAGCAAAGAAATGAGGTTTTCTGTTCACAAAAATGAATACAGTTATAGGAACTTGAAGAAGCGAAATTGTATCATCAATTTGAGGATTCATAGTATCACAAATAATTTGGAACCATTCAATATAATAACTATATATATATATATATATATAGTTATTATATTGAATGGTTTATTTATATTAAAAAGACATTTCTCCAATTAGTTTTAAAACTTTGAATAATGTTTTTATTAATTTATACATTTCTCTATTTACAGATTGTATATAGTACGAATAAACTCTTTTAGTCACTAATGTCATTTATTGTGACAGAATGTAAAATAATCCAATAAAATATGAAATTAAAATAATAAATAAATAAATTAATTAATTTAAAAAAATGCTTAATGGACCTTAGGCAACGCCTACATTGCGCCCCTGTTTTTCACTACGCGAGTAGGTAAGATCATCGTACGTTGATGTTAGAAAAAAAGAATAGCCATTATACGATTGACCAAACAAAAATTCATTTTATTTACCAGATTGCTAATACAAGATCTCGCACCATTAAGCAGTCAAATTGTTCGTTCGTTTTTTTCTCCTCCTAGTTTCTTTCTTTCACTCCGTGGTGCCTTTTTTTTTTTTTTTTATCAAAACTATGACTACAGTTCATTGATGGTACTCGTTACTATTTTCCGTGTAAATTCCTTCACTTCATGTAACGTCACAACTTTAATATTTTATTTTATATATTATATGAATATAATAAATATATATATATATATATATATATATATATAATATATATATATATATATATATATATATATATATATATATATATACAGTCGCGGTCACAGAAACTATTTCTTATGCTGATAACGTTGATTCCATTGAATGTTTTTGTTTTATTTAATAACTAAGGTTAATAAGAAAACTTTAACAATATTTCTCAGTTCAGTTTAGCTAATGCCAGGATAAAAGCTATAATTATGACCTGTTTCAAAAACTGTAGACGTAAAATTAAAATTTTGACGTTACACGAGGTGAAGGAATTTTCAAGGAAAATAGTAACGAGTACCATCAATATATATATATATATATGTATATATATATATATATATATATATATATATATATATATATATATATATATATATATATATATATATATATATTGATATACACTTTTATTTATAAATTCCTTTTTTCGCATCCGCCAGCTACTCTGGATACCCCTTGAGTATATCCATCAAATCTTTTTCTGCACAATGTGTACAATTTTATTAGACCGTTTTTAAAACTTATATTCAGAAATTGTATATCTTTTCAAAAGAATAATAATAAAAACTATTCAGAAAGATAGGAACCATTCGAAGATGGGAGAGAGGTCCAAGACACGCGGTCCAGATAGGAAGTGCCACGTTAAGCATTTAAGTCGGTGGATGTTTAGAATTAAATAAACATTTACATCCTGTAACGATTCTGTGTCCATCACAATCGGACATCGCTCGATGAAACGTTCAACGTTACAAAGATATCATCTAACGAATGATTATTCTGCATATTCTTTAGTCTGTGTTATTGAAAATCTTGGTTAAGACGATATTGAAACCATTTTATTTAGCTCATATTTAAAAATTCAAAATTTTGAAATTACTTTTGTTTGCTTATTTAATTTTTTTTTAAATCAAATTTAATGTTTGTAATTCTAAAAATTCTTTTATGGTTAGAGCATATTTTCGTACTTATGCTAAAATTTAATAGATTTTAAGATCATGTTTTTAGATGTATTAGTTAATTTTTTAAGGTTTTGAGTGTTTTGCCCTAAAACGTTGGAAATTTATAAATATCCGCCGAGGAAAAGATGCTCTTTCAGCATTTTTTCCGGAGTTCCGCTCCAAAACGTTTTTTTTTTTTTGTCACAACCTTATCAATTACGAGTAAAAACGAAAACGAAAACGAATATAGAATAAAAAATTATATTTATATAATTTTCATAATATATTATTATGATATTCTGTCTATTATCAAGAAACTGTAAATAAAGTAAAGGACCAACAAATAACTTATTGTTTACTGATAAAGAATCCCATGATGATAATTTCAAGTAAAATTTGATTACAAATACGAAATAATTTAATAATTTATTATATTGCTGATACAAATTATCAATAATCTTCCGTAATCAATCTTCAGGGATTATTGCCGATACAAAGAACTAGGATATTCTAAAATATTTAGATAAGACATTTTTTTTTTACTTTACTGTTTGCAATATTATATAACTTTGGTAAATATTTACATTAGCACGCTTAAAATAATTATAGGTCAATTAATTAACGAAAGTGTAAGTTTGTTTATATGATTGATATCCAGTGATAAAATCCTTGACAATTTTAAACAGACCCTGAAAATCCAAAAACAACGGTTGCAGTACATTTCCGCACGTTTATCGATCTATAAATAAATTTTAATTCAAAACATGAATGAAGTGCAATAAATATACACTTATTATAGGATGTTGCTCGGTACCTTGGTAATTTCTTTAATTACTAAGGTTAGTTAAAATTATTAATTTGAAGAGTGCAAGGTTTCAGAACCTTTATTATAGGAATAAAACAAAATTTAACCAACTTAAAAAATATGCTTGACAAAGATTCAAACTATGACAACATATAGTTTATGGATAGATTATATAATAGGTTGAAAGAAACCTTTCGAAAAAATGTAACGTAAACGTGTAAAGAAGGACCTAATACAGTTTTTGTGTATTTGAACTATATTTTATTTTAAACCACTTGATGTTTTTTCATGTCAGTGTCACCGTCATTTTAGTTATAATTTAGGACAAAGGTTATAATTTTATTCAGATAGATATAGCTACGAACAAAATAAAATAAAAAAAACACTCATACGCAATGGTTCCACGTTTTCTAGAACAACAAAAAACTGATTTCTTGAGAAATATGAAAAAAATTATCATGAATGAAAATTCATCAGTTGTGAAATTTAACTCCCTCGAAAATATTAATGTTTATAAAATATTTCTTCAAAACTTAGGTAACATAACAAAGTAATAATCAACTACAGTTCATTATTTGCAAATTTGTTAAGTTGAAAGACGTTATAAATAAAATAGCATACTTTTATTGAATGTGTATCGAAAAATATTAATTTTATACGATTAAGAAGTGGGCTTGTTGATAGCATGTATGCAAAACAGGTAAACAAATAAATTTGTTTATTAATTCACGTTTAATTAATTTATTCATTATTATGTAAGTTATGTTGTATCTTAAAGTATGGTTCTATTGATCTCAATGTAAAGGAGAGTAAAGCATGCCCATACGATATTCCATAAATTAATTATAGCTTTATAAACTACGATAGAGGGTAAATAATCTTTACTGAACAATGATAACTCTAATCCGGATATTGAAAGTTTCCGGTTAACCGATGCAATTATGTATAAAGCAAAATTGCAACGAAAAGCTTATATGCCCCTTTTACCAGATTTTACAGAAACCATGAATAAAAATGAGGTATTTATAAGGAAGTTTATATACAAACGGCTTGTTTTCATGTCCCACGGAGGAAAAAGGAGAGGATTAAACGACCCAATAAATATTTTAAACAGAGATCCACAATAGTGCCCTGATATTATTAACGTATTTTAGGGCTGGAATAAGACAACAGGGAGGTTAAAAAAAAAAGTGTTTCTTGAAACATAAAAGTAAGACTGAATTTTAACCAATTTAAAATGTGTTCGATTATTTCATGGAAGTATTTCTTTAACGTTTCGATAATTTTCAAAATGTTCAAGTGAAAATAATAGGGTGTATAAAAAAAATGACCGTTTTATCAAATTCAATATTTCAAAGGGTTCTATAATAATCTCTGTAAAGCATTATCTAAGCTTGTTTAATCCCATTCGATTCTTCAAAAAAAGTCTCAGTTTAGTTATTTCTTTCAAAGAAGAAATATGACAGACAAACATGGACAAAAAAAATGGACAATCGCTGAAGTAACTCTTAAAATTATTAAATATGAAGGGTAAGGTGTCCTTGACCAGCGCACTGCGCGGCGTTGATTAGAAAAATTTAGCAGTGGAGATACGACGCTGGAAAGGAAGAAGGACACCCTGTGACCATTAATGAATATTGATACGGTTCTGCAGGAAGCTGTCGTGTCAAATCCGTCAGCAAGTACTAGCGAACATGCCAGGAAGTGTGGTGTGTCGAAAGATACTGTCAGTCGCCATCTACTCTCCATGGGGAAGGTGAAAAAGACCATTAGACTGATCCCTCGGGAACTTACTCCTCAGCAATCAGCTAATAGTTTACAAATGTGTGAACATTTATTGAAAAAACCCTCGAATTCGAACACCTGCCTCATCCATCATATAGTCAAGACCTCGCACCATCGGATTACTACTTATTTAGTTCCATGGCCCATTTTCTTAAATGGAAAAAAAAAAAATGATAATTTTGTGGAGTTTTAAATTGCTGTCCAAGAGTTTTTTGACGGCCATCCCAAAGAATGGTATCAGCGTGGGATCGAGCAATTGGCTAGCAGATGGCTAATGATGGTAGATCACACTAGACTATACTTTTAGAATTTATTTTATCTTATATCAAAGATATAATAATACGAATATTTGTTTGAAAAACGGTCATTTTTTTGTACACATCCTATTATTTTAATAGTCTCGGGTAAAGGGCCAAAATAAGGTACTCGTTCTAGAAGTTTTGAATGTAAATTACGAATTCAACAAAATAAGTCTTGTCTGCGATTATAAAGCAGCTGATTTCAAATTGTTTATGCGTAAGTAAATTTGCTATTTTGAAAACTTTCTATTTTGGAAATTCAGTTTCTTTAAGCTTGGAAACGACTATATCTTTTGATAGAAATATTCGTCTATCAAAGTTTCATCCATATAGGAATCAAGATCATTATTAGAAACTTCAAATGTCACCACATGGTCGCCATTTTCAAAATCAGTGGCTTTGGAATGACGGATAAATAGTGTATATTTAGAATACCATATACTTTCTTAACTCATATCCGAACCTTCTTCTAGAATTTTGGCTGTGGTTTTCTCGCTCTACTATCGTTGTATTTAATATTTAATATTAAATATTTAAGTATTGTAATGTTGATCCGAGCCGGATTTAAGATTTTTTTGTAGGAGAGACAAACTTTCGCAGCCCCATTCTATTTATATTTCTAAACAATTAATATTTAACAGTAAAGAAACTACAGCATGTTCATTCTGAAAAAAAAATAATACTAAACACCTAATGTTTTTCAAAGTGTAATTTAATTTTTGAAACTTTTTTTTTACTGTTTATTTTTGTAACCAGTTAATTTTTTCATAATTTTAATTTATTAACTGCTTGATATTTTTCTATTTTTAATTTTTAAAGTGGTGATTTTGTTTTCTAATTTGTGAACTGGTCAATTCTTTTTAATTCTGAACTGGTTGAATGTATGTTTAAAAAAAAAAATTAGCAGATAATTTTTAGTGGATTATTTTTTTCAAATTTTTAGTTTTGATTAGATTATTTTTTTTAACTTATGAACTGGTTAATTGTTTTTTAACAAGTTTAATTTTTTAAATCTTTAAATCAATTCCAATTTCTTAAAATACATAAATATTACTGGTACTGGTAGTATTGGGAGAACTTAATCCTTTTTGCCAACTCCAAAGACAATACTATCAATGGTTGTCTATTGTTCCTCCAACTCTGTCTCAAATCTTTTTGTTCTAATGAAGTTAGTGGGCGGGGTGGCCGAATGGGCTAAAGCGTGTGCACAGCACGTCGAGTTGCCCGGCAACCAGATATATGAAGTTTTGAGAGACAATAATAAGTACGAGTTCGCGTCCCGGTGCCGGAGGTGATTCTAAATTCCCCCGCCCTCACCCTCCTGCCCGGGGAAGTCCCCAATATATATAGCCTAAACGGCGAGGTAGGGAAACAAAAAAAAAAATAATAATAATAATAATAGTAAAAAATAAAAAATAAAATGTTTTAATGAAGTTCAAAAGATTGGATCATTTTATGGAGGCAGCTTTGCATAAGTGGATTCTGTCCTCGCCCAGAATTCTGTATCTGAGTGACGCAAATCCGTCGCAATCCGTGATGAAGGGGAGGGCAGTTTCTGGTGCATTTCTGTAAAGATTGCAGAGTTTATCATCTACTATCCGACAGATCTTAAAATTCTGCAGTGGTCTGTTAATACCCCGATAATGAGTCGGATTTCTTTTTTAAATAGGCCCAGCAGCCTCTTCGTTTTGGAGGGAGAGGGGCTTTTGATAAATTGTTTCGCTTGTCTAAGCCCCGTGCATTTCCTCCATTCTTTACCAGAGTTTTCCAGGTTCATTCAAGGACTTCTTTCTACTGACGTTTTTTGGATATTTCTATCGCAGATTCCGATAAATAAATATTAGGATTAAACAAAATTTCACCGGATAATTGACGATGTAATTAATTGTCTGGTAATAATATGAAATTTAAAAAAAGTATACATCGTAGTTATCTTCAATAAACAAAATAAATATAGTAAAAATAACTGACGTAAGTAATTAATTATTATTGTTCCAAAATTAATAAAACTATTATGAAATAGTGTATTGACTAAAAACTCATTTACCAAGCAATCATTTTTCTTAAAATGAATAAAAATACTAATCGTTCCAATTACTGATATCGAATTATTTAATAAATAGTTGGATTAATATATACTTGTGTAAATTAAAATATAGATCAAGAGTATAGCTATTATTCCATAATAATAGGTGAATTATGTCATTTTGAACTTAATTTTTAACATTGCACTTATATTAGTTAACATATGAAATCAACATAATCAGGCGTAAATGGAGGTATAAGGAATTGAAACAATTTTGTGTCTGTATTTTATGTTTCCGAAACTTAATTATCAATATGATTGAAATAAGACATGAATGAACGGACAAACGTAATTTCAACTATATTTGATAAAGAGGTGTAGTGAAGCCATTCATCTGATCAATTATGATTTCTGGAAAAAAAAAAAAAAATTCTTCTGTAAATTGTGGAAAAATTTATAATCAGATTTATTTATGATCAGAATTTAATTTTTTTAAAACCACGTTCACGTCAATAAATTAAAGAATTATGCGATTATATGATAAATATGAATAAGTAAAACGAATCCACTCAAATCCAAAAATAAATATAAAAGAGGACTAAACCACGAAATTATCTAAATAAAACAATACACGTGACAAATCAATCAAGTTTAAAATAAATTCTTTCTTAACCATCGAAATGATGAAAATCTGAAGTATTCTTACCAACCTGAATTATATATTAAAAGGAAATGTAATTCGATAATAATAAAGTTCCATACGCATTTATGTAATTGATGTTTCAAACAATAAAATGCACAATAAAATCGATTAATTTAAGATTACATAAATCGAAAGTATAAAATGCAATCGCAATTTATCTTTTAAGGTTAGAAAAAAAATTCTGACAAATATTTCTCCACAATTCACATATATAATTTGTATCCATTTTCGTTCATCTTAATTAGGGTTTATATCCTAATATTTTGTTTAAATACTTGAATTGTAAATTTTTAGAACAATAGTCACAATTTCTATAAAATTGTTTTTTAAATATTGTAATTTATTGTTCTCTGATCTTAAAATTAATATAGGACATTTTTCTGTATTCAGTGTAATGTAATTTTCTTTCATATTACTTTCGAGAATGATAAAGAAAACGAGGACCTTGCTGCCAAAAGTGGACATTTCTACTTTGACTGAAACAAATTTCGAGTAGTTCTGATTGTTTTTAAAAACTTCACTTAACAATAGCACCGCTTCTATACCTAATGTTATCTCTCCTTAGAATAATGAGCAAATGAAATGTTGGGAAAAAAGTTTTTATTGCCACTTGGTAAATACAATTGGATACGGAGATGTCCACTTTTAAAAGAGAACTCCTCAAATGTCTGTTAAGGCACATTTCAATAAAGATATATAAACTGTCAATTGTACTTTGACTATGACTTGAAAATATTAAGGATTGGAAATGTATTTTTTTGTTTATTGATATTATTTGAACAATCGTTTCAGTATTACTGACTCATGGTCAGTTGTGCTAAGACAGTTTTTTTTTTGGTTTTATTTTGTCTCACTTTAAGTATTTAACTTCTTGTTCTATATCGGTTGATTGATAAATAAATTAATATATTTCTATTGATTGAATACATTAATGATCGCTCACCGGTGGACGCTGGTGCTTGGGAAGGTTTCCGGTCCATGCCTGCCGACGGACTGAGCTGAGAGGTTGGGTCGCAATGGAGGGGGTGCTTCCAGAGATCGCCGATTTTAAAGACATTGCAGATCAGTGGGGGTAGCCATGGTAACCCGATAACGGCGATAACACAAGGTAGCTGGCGTTATCGCAGAATCGCGGAGCACGTCCCCATCTCCAAGATAACGAGGTCGTAAAACTTGACCTAGTGCTGGTAACCGCTTCCGTTTTATCGGAATGAGTCGGCCCGACAGATCAGTACGTTCATACGAATCTTTGTCATACAGAGTTGATAAATTAATAAAATATTTATTTACTTATTTAATTATTATTTATTTGCCTGTTTAATCAATTAATTGATGAACGTTTGCCGTGATCTTCAACCAATTAGTGTCTATGGCAGATACAACTCACGGAAAAAAGGACTACATATCTCCCTTTTTTTTTTTTTTTTTTTTTTTTTTTTTTTTTTTTTTTTTTTTTTTTTTTTTTTTTTTTTTTTTGGGTCGTCCCCTTCCTCGCCGTTAAGGCTATACGGGGTTTTCCCGGGCCAGGGGGTATGGGCGGGGATTTTATAAGACTCCCTTGGCACCGGGAAGCGAACTCGTGACTATTTTTATATCATTAGATTCATATGTCAGGTTGCCGGGCAACGGCGGTGCTGTGCACATGCTTTAGCCCATTCGGCCACCCCGCCCGCTCATATCTTTCATCTGGTTTGTGGCGTCTGATTTGAAAGACATTAGGCCAAATAGGCGCAGGCTTTCCATTCTGGTTGAGGGTACAATGGACTCTCCCCCCATAAAAAAAGGATCTGGAGGCTATATTTCGTATAAAAATTATGAATGATAATTAAAATAATTATAGTTAAAGGAAAAATGTAATACTATATATACAAATTAATTTATATATACCAGAGGAGTACCCTCTGTTCGCCCAACGGTAGATCAATCTCAATTTTACAAATTATAGAACTGTTCATTTAAATGTACTACTCGCAGCTCAAATTGTATAATTGTGTAATAATTTCATGTATTCTGTATTTTATATAATGAGTTCAGATTGTATTTTTACTTTCACCTATCTATATATGTAATATATAGTAAGGGAAAGTATTACGATCGTGAACATTTTTTAATCTGTGTTTTCAAATGAAATACACGTTTTGAGGTCCTCTGAGTCCAAATAACCAAGTCACGCAAAATGGTCTGTATGTCTGTGTATATGTGAACAGTCTAGCTCAAAAACGAAAAGTCATACGAGACTGATGTTATGTATTTAAGATAATATACCTATCTTAGCTGTGACAGCAACTTTTTCCTTAAAACCGGCAAACCGATAGTGCCACTTTATATCTACGGTGAAACACATTTTTACACATTTCTCAAAAAGGGCTCTAACGATTTTGATTAAACTCGGTGTATCATTGTTTAATTAAGTGGTACTTGATATCATTTAGGTTTTATCCCCATTGATGTCACTTTATAGGGCTTAAATGCCCAATGTTCATATCCGTCTTACTCTAAAGTACCTTTAATATGGTTTATTTAAAAAAAAACATCACGCTCTTTTATTGACAGTAACTATAAAAAATGGCCAAATATGAAGTTTGAAAGAATATGAAAACTGGAGAAAAAAAGACAAATGCTTAGCCAGGTTGAAAATGAATCTCCGGAAATAATAGTCAGAAGGTATATGTATAATATATCGTTGGAAAGCAGAGAATTTTAGAAAAAAGAAATCAAATAAATAAAGTTGTAGAAGGTAACGGAGAGTGACGAAAAAAATATATATAATAATTTTAGAAAACTAACATTATTTAACATAAATCACATGTTTCCAAGAAAATTAAATGAAGTTTTCTTACTAAATGTAAACTTTTAGTTGTTTTTTTTTTAAGTTTGAAAAAAAAGTATTTAAAATACATCGAATCAAGCCAATTCCATTTTTTAAAGTATTATTTCATTTTACTTGTGTGAAAGAAGAAGTAAAATATAAAAATGTTTCATGGATATGTTTATATCCTTAAATACATTAACTGTAGTTTAATAACTCTAGATATGGTATTATATTTAAATAATTAGATATCTATTTGTCGTTTATTACAAAAAATCATCAAGTAATATTTTAGAAAATTAAATTAGTGAATTATTTGATGAATTTTCAGTTGTGAAATCCGACATTATCCACTTACAATTAGTGTGACAACTTTGGAAAATAACAGTTTAATAATTTATAGTGTTACAATCGATAATCATTTATTGGTTAAATATTCAGATACACTTTCAAATGTCTCTAGGCATATATGAGCCTTTCGATTGACAGAATGACTAACTCCAAATTCAATATTCTTTATTATTAATTTTAGTGATGTTTCTAGTGGCAAAATTTATACCTTTGTTCAGAGTTATATATTTCAACACTGCAATCACCTACTCTGGAATCAATTTACTCACTGTCTGTATACATATAACTTTTCCAACTAGAAATATCACTAAAATGACATTACTCAAAAATGTTGAAATTGGAGTTAGTCATTCTGTCAATTGAAAGGCTTAGGGACTGAAGTTGTGTGGTTTATAAAAGCATATAGAGTAAAACTAGATTTTTATTGCCTACTGTCGATGTAATAAATAGACTTCTTGTAATTTTAATGGTCTTTATGATTTGTAATCTGTAAGCTTTAAGCTTTAGCTCCGTTTAAAATGCACTTAAAAAATTTTATAATATCCCAACATAACCAGAAAATAATATCTATTCAAAGTAGATCGGTAAGTGAAAGTTGTGTGTGGCGCGCATCAGATTTTTTATTTCAATATAGGGTAAAAAAAAAATTATTATCCCAATATTTTAATTTGTTAAAATAGGAAAATAAAACATGACAGTCACTATATATACATATATATATATATATATATATATATATATATATATATATATATATATATATATATATATATATATATATATATGTATATATATGTATATATGTACTCGTATATATATTTTTATTGTAAAAGAAAGTTTAGTGACTGTCATGTTTTATTTTCCTATTTTAACAAATTAAAATATTGGGATAATAATTTTTTTTTTACCCTATATTGAAATAAAAAATCTGATGCGCGCCACACACAACTATATATATATATATATATATATATATATATATATATAAATATATACAGGGTGTCCCATAAGTAGATGGAAATTTTTATAGGAGTGATAGCAGACCGCAAGAGCTACAAAAAAGTTTATATAAACAATGGGCCAATTTTCAGCAGAAAATTAGCAAATCCAAGTTTTGTGTTTTTTTAAGTGAGTCGTGTTTTTTGTTGAATCGAAAGCAATAACTAGAGAAATATTTAATTTAAGTAATTAATAATTGCTTCATTGTAAACTGTATGACATTTACTTTAAACGAAAATAGAGTTTATCATTGTTAAAACCATTTAAAGGTGAGTTCTGAGCGGTTAAACTAAGCTAAGTTATGTTTTTAGAAAGTTCATAAATTATTCGCGATTTTTTTTTTAGCATTATCCAAGTATACTACAGTTACCCCACTTTAGCGTAAAGTTTTCCCTTTGATAAGCTTTAAATTTGAAGTTTTTTAAGAGAAATTTTGAAATTGAGCTCAAGTTATGTAAAAACTGATGATATTTTTTATACAGTCAAGTAAGTGTACCCCTGTTTTTAGCAAACATTAACATTACCAACATTAACATTAACATTAGCAAACATTAACTGTTGCAAAACTTTTATTTCTTGGTTTTTCATGACCTCACATGTATTATAATAAATCCAATCGCCCAAACACACATTTTATTATTAAAAAAAAATAATTTGAAAAATACTTATTTTTCCAATAATTTCCGGGTAAATTGGTCATGAATGACTAATAAAATCCTAAGATATAGTTCTACATATAAATATCTTTCAATATAAACTAAAATTTCAAAAATAGGAACATAGAGTGTGGTAAAATACTTGTTTACCTACTTTTAGACTAGCTTTGCCATCTTGTCTTTTTTTCTCATTCCCTTAATTTATTTTAGTTTATATATTTTATTCATTTGTATAAATTAATTGTTGTTGATTTTTATTCTTGAAACATTGGGGCCTAAGTTAGAACAGTCAGCAGAAGACCAAAACGAGGTTATTTTCATAGCCGATGCAATGGTTACCGTTCCAGAAAAAAATTCATTGACCATAATTTTCGATTGGAAATAATGTATTTGTCACAAATAAATATAAATAAGACTTTTATGGTTTAAATTTATTTAATATAACATTAATGTGTGGTAGTCACAAGTCGTCACAAAGTCTATTTTTTTTTTTAAATAGTGAAACAACAATTTACTGTATTTGATGACCATAATTTTCGATTGGAAATCATGTGCTCGTCTCAAATAAATAAAAAATAAGTCTTTTATGGATTAAACTACTTAATATAACATTAATCTATCGTAAAAATATATGAATTTTCAGAGAACTTCCAGAGAAAAAAATAACATTAACACAAATAAAAGAAAAATATTGTGTACAAATTAATTTCATGTATTTCCTCATCCTCGGTATCGACATCCGTAGGAAAAATACTATCTGACTGAAATCCGTCATAGTCATAAAGCGATAATCCAGATAGTAAGGAACTATGTGCTTCTGGTTCTAAAAAGGAAAGTACTTTAACACTCAGAGATGGCGAATGTTTATTGAATAGTAGTTCAAAAAACCGTTAACTAAAAGCATATTAAGAAGGTCTCTATTTGAGTCTTCTTTCTTTTATTTCTTTTTTGTGTTATGTTCTCGATATTTAAGGAAACCTTAAAGTCGAGTTTATATAGCTTGTTCTGTTAATTACCCGATGGGTAAATAAACAATATGAAATTCAAAATCTTTGAAATATGCACTCAATCCATCCATAACCCCGTAAAAATTTGCTTCCTCAAAATTTTGTTGACGCAACTTGCCCCTTCTGGGCACCTTTACTACATTATATCCTTTACTTCCCACTCATTAGTTTTCGAAGCAACCATTTTGTTATCAGGTATAGAAAATATGATTCAGCTATGACACATCTCTTCTAAAAAAAAATGAATAAATCATT